AACATGTAAACTCACTGAGCAGGACCCTCAGTCCCTCTGTTACTGTGTCACTATACCCCACTCCCTCTAACATGTAAACTCACTGAGCAGGACCCTCAATCCCTCTGTTACTGTGTCACTATACCCCACTCCCTCTAACATGTAAACTCACTGAGCAGGGCCCTCAATCCCTCTGTTACTGTGTCACTATACCCCACTCCCTCTAACATGTAAACTCACTGAGCAGGCCCTCAATCCCACTGTTACTGTGTCACTATACCCCACTCCCTCTAACATGTAAACTCACTGAGCAGGGCCTCAATCCCTCTGTTACTGTGTCGCTATACCCCACTCCCTCTAACATGTAAACTCACTGAGCAGGCCCTCAATCCCTCTGTTACTGTGTCACTATACCCCACTCCCTCTAACTCACATGTAAACTCACTGAGCAGGCCCCCAATCCCTCTGTTACTGTGTCACTATACCCCACTCCCTCTAACATATAAACTCACTGAGCAGGGCCCTCAATCCCTCTGTTCCTTTTTGTCCATCTCGTCTGTTTACAAATACTTGTATGTTAGTCCACCCATTGTACAGTGTTACAGAACTTGTTGTTTTATAAATACTACTAATATTAATAATAATAATTACCTGGCTCATAAAGAAATGCCCAGCCAAATTGCAGGTCTTTGCCAGTCAATGTGCACTAGATCTCTTCCATCAACTACATTACCAGATTGTGACACTTTTCATGTAGGCACATCAAGTTTTGTATTTATTTTGGTTTACTTTTATAATCTATCTCTTGTCGAGTCATATCGAGTCTGTTACGTTTCCTCCAGGCTGCTTCTTATCTTTGTCATCCTTTATACCAGTGTTTAGTTTTTTTTATTTAGTGATAGATTATGGCGTGATAGGTGATATCTATTACTACCTAACCCTTATGAAAGAGAGAGGCTGCGTGGTGCCAGATGACATTTGTATACAGTAGGTTATTGCGTTTACTTGGAGTTACCCACCATCTGAAGCTGCTCGATGGTATCACCTGCTGCTATGTCCTGCACCCCCCCAATATGGCGGCAGACACGGTGGAATAGATTAAGAATGGCTATCCTTATGGTTTCCTGTAGAATGCTGTTCTTGGCAGCTGTGCTGTGGATGTGGGCACTGCGAGACTCCTGAACACACACAGAAATCGGTACCATGAATATTATGCTTGTTACTTTTTTCCTAATAACCGCACACATAAAAAAAACGTACAATCCATCCAAACGTAGTATCACAGGAGTATGAGTGCTGGGCTGAGTACATTAACCACACTATGCTCTACCTACTGCCGAGTACATTACCCACACTATGCTCTACCTCCTGCCGAGTACATTACCCACCCTATACTCTACCTACTGCCGAATACATTACCCACCCTATACTCTACGGCCGAGTACATTACCCACACTATACTCTACCTCCTGCCGAGTACATTACCCACCCTATACTCTACCAACGGCCGAGTACATTACCCACACTATACTCTACCTCCTGCCGAGTACATTACCCACCCTATACTCTACCGCCTGCCGAGTACATTACCCACCCTATACTCTACCTACTGCCAAATACATTACCCACCCTATACTCTACGTACTGCCGAATTCATTACCCACCCTATACTCTACCTACTGCTGAGTACATTACCCACCCTATACTCTACCAACTGCCAAGTACAACCCACACAATACCTACTGCCGAGTACATTGCCCACACTATACTCTACCTACGGCCGAGTGCATTACCCACCCAATACTCTACCCACTGCCGAGTACATTACCCACCCTATACTCAACCTACTGCCGAGTACTACCCACACAATACCTACTGCCGAGTACATTGCCCACACCGAGTACATTGCCTACCTACGGCCGAGTGCATTACCCACCAAATACTCTACCCACTGCCGAGTACATTACCCACCCTATACTCTACCTACGGCCGAGTACATTACCAGCCCTATACTCTACCTACTGCCGAGTACATTACCCACACAGAGTACATTAACGACACCATACTCTGCCTGGTTCTCACCCACTCCAGACACTCCTTTAGTGACTGTTTCAGGCGTGTCTGTAGATTGTCCAAGTGTCTGCGAAGTTGGAGACTCTCATTCTTACTGCATTCCAGGTATTGATTCAAGTGTTCTTTCTCTTTCTGCAGAGTGTCCTGGGCCTCTTGCACTCCTTTGCTTTGGTAACTCAATGTGTCATCCAAGGTGCGGAAACGGTATAAGATATCACCAACCTCCTGAAACTGATATAAAGCTAAATGTATCTTCAGGTCTGCAAATGATTACAGCACTGTACAATTAGGAGAGAACATGCAATACAGTATATTTAGACTTATACAGAAAATAAAGAGGGCTTGGCCCATGAGCTGACATTTAGCCATTGAAATTGTCTGATTAGATAGCCCATGAGCTAACAATCTAAAGGATATGATAGGGGTTTGGCAGGAAGCAGAGGGAGTATGGAAGTGATTTCAGAGAAACTTAAAGGAAAGTTGCATGTACTGCTAGTTTGTAAAGGGACAGAGGGAGTAATTAAGTAAGAACTCAGACAGCTGGAAGAACCTGGGTGAGTGGGTAGTGCTTTCATAATTCTGGCTCTGTACACCACCACAATAGATTTGAAATGGAACAACCAAGATGCAATTGAAGTGCAGACTTTCAGCTTTAATTCAAGGAGTTGAACAAAAATATTGTATGAAACATTAAGGAATTACAAACATTTTCATGCACAGTCAGTCCCCTTGTAGCAGGGGCTCAAATGTAATTGGATAAATAAACACAATCATAAATAAAATTGTAGCGGAGAGCTGGTATTCCACAGGTTATCTCCACTCAAGATCCCAGTGAGGCTCAGGAACGTCTGGAGCTCGAGGCTCTGTACATCCCCGGAATTAGTTTTATAGAGTTGCTTGGTTTAGTCCGGTGAATTCAAACTTCGCGTCTAAACCAAGTGTGGTGGCCACCCCATTAGGAGGAGGGGTTTTGCCACCAGAGATGTTCTTTCCCCTCTAGTGTGAGTGATGCTGTAGTCATTTCACAATAAGTGTAATCCAAAGCGACTAGAGCAGGTATAGCTCTTAACAGAGCAAGTGATTATAGCAATCCTAAGAGAAGTGATATAGCTGGTATAGCATTCTCCCACATACGAGACGAGGCTCTATGCTGGGGATGAACTGGTTTATAGGGATCCACACACTGCCTTTTATGTAATTCCCCATGCAAGGGGTTTCCTAAAACTTATTCCAGGGGCATTCCCTGCTGGACCTGAGAGGAAACTGTTACAAAGTACACATCCAAATGACATTATCTCTCAGGATCAGAACATACATGCATTACACCCCAAAACATACATTTCACAATCAGGTACCCCCTCAAATCCTATATCCCTGGATCTGAGCACCCAACATATCCCAAAAACGCTCAGAACCCGCAAACGCAGCCGAAACGCCCCTGGGCTCAAGTTTAGACCAACCACACACGTGGCGTCTGCCCAAAACAGTTCCTGGAAATTTTGCTGAGCAGTCTGTCTCTTTCGGGGGGTACAAAATACATTAATATACTGAACGTAACTGTTCATGCGTACACTGAGTCTGTGTCCCTTGTTCAGAAGTGTGCTCCCATCGAACGTTTCAGCGGTGTTCGGGCGGTCGAGTGTCTGATTTTGGTTCCATTCACTCAACGACCAAACACCGCTGCATGTGATCGCGGCTAAGATTCGAATGGCGACCACCCAGCCAACTGCTTAAAATGCTGTGGTTATCGCGGTCAAGGAGGTGATGACAGAGGTGAAAAGGGTTGTCACGCAGCACACTTAGTATATGGGTGGTCTAACAGTTCGTGAGTTTGTTCGGTATACGTACAAAATGAACATAATCAGTTCGGTGTACCCCATATACTGAACCAATAGGTGAAAGAAACAAAGTTTTATAATCCAGGGACAGGGGGACTGTCACACCAAACAACAACCAATCAGCTAAAAAGGCCAAACCAATTTGCGTCAATCAGCGCTCAGGGAGAAGAGGGGTTTCGCCGCCCAATCATGAGAAAGGGCGCGAAACTTGGTTGCACCAATCGGCGCTCAGGGAGGAGAGGGGTTTCGCCGACCCATTCAAAAGAAAGAGTGTGAAAGTCTGTTGCACCAATCAGCGCTCTGGGAATAGAAGGTTTTGGCTCCCCAATCAGGAGAAAGGGCACGAAACCCCATTTGAAAGGGCGTTCCTTCTCTGATTGGTCGACTGTGCCCTGCAGCAACCAATCAGCTCTCAATCGTGCCGACCAATCAGGGAAATGGCGCAAACCAGTTTGAATGGGCAGACTTCCAGGCGACCAGCAGGACCTCTGTGGCTGTGTAGCCAACTTACAGTTCCAGGGATTCCGCTGGGGCTCACGGCTCTCTCCGGTGCTATCTCCACTTAGGTAGCACCGGAGAGAGCGTTCCTTGGGCAGCTCCTAGCCTGGCCACGCAGGTCCCGGGTAGTGATTACAGCTCCGTTAGGAGCAGATAGGGTGATTCGAAGTGCCAGTACCCCAACAGTGTCCCCACCAACCTCAGGGACCTGTTCATGGAGTCCCTTTGTGAAGACCCTGCAAAGGAAGCATATCCTTTCAGAATACGAATGCTCCCCTGGGTGGCATTCATCTGTATGAAATGGCGGCAGGGGAGCACTCATTAATTACTTCCCTTGCAGTTCCACACTTATGTTGCAGTGTGAACGTTCTGATGGATTGGTGTGAACATTCTAATGGAGTACGAGGGTGTTCCACGTTCAGGAGACTAAAGGGTTCCGTTCGCATGAGCGCTCCCGAGTGCTCAACAGGGAAAAATACACGAAATACAAGCGTTAAAAATGCAAAATATGAAGCCTCCTGTCATGTAAAATTGTAGATTTTGCTAACGATGTGTACCTATAATCTTAATTTTAATAATGACAGGAGGCGAGTGTAATGGACCGTTTCAGCACACCAGGGGTTAAAACCGTTTAGGCGATCGTCCCCTTTCAGAGATGCAGGCACAGCTACTGTAGAACACCAAACTCCCGAACCGCATGTAAGGGAATGCTCCAAACTCCCGAACGGCATACAATATAGCACTCCAAGCTCACGAACTGGAACCATACGAATAGCTGCTAGCAGACGAATATGAAAAGCATCCAAGCGGCTTACACTCCTAGCAATCAGTCTCTATCAGCATTCAGTAAATCCCCCCAAAGACGAGACAAGGCTCCGTGTTGAGGGTCAAGCAGTGGTCTGTTTAATGAGGGCTACCTGCCCAGTATTTATGCAGATCTCCCACCTGGTGGACACTCCCCTAGGGGACCAAATGGGAGACTGTGACAAAAGACAGACAATCAGCAAAATAGGACACACAGTCACATTATATTCCCACAATGAATCCTGGCTTCTTCCCCTCTGCCCTGGAGATAATTGAGAAGTAATTCAATTATCTCCCAGGACAAAGGCAAATCGCCATTATGCACGTGGGGATACCAATACAGGAATTACTATTAAAATACACTATGTGACACAAGTTACAATAAAATTATACATTTAACATATCCCCAGATAGCTCAGGTCTGAGCGCACATTATTAAATGAATGGAGCTCAGACCACACAAATACAGTTTAATCGCCATGGAGCCAAAGTCTTCACAAAGTCAGTTCTCATACGAATGAGCTCCATGGGATTCCTATCTGGGGTATAGTGCAGTCAGGTACGACTACTGAATACCGGGCCATTCGTGTACTTCCACCGAAGAAGAAGGGAGGTCGGCGGCTTCAGCTGTGTTCGCGCCAAACTGTGTCTGTTTTTAGTTCCATGAGTTAGGCGTCGAACACCGCTGTGCGTTCGCGTGTTTAAAATGGCCGCGACCTCGTGTTCGTTATACGGATGGCGGCCACCCAGTATTCGTCAATTAAGCTGCGGTTAACCGCAGCTTCTGGGAGGCTAATTGCCGGCACACTCCAGCTCCCAGTTGGTCTAGTCATTCGTGCGGTTGTTTAGTAGATTGAATCTACCGAACACCGGGCAGAAAAGCACGAATAAGTGTTTTCTGCAAGGGAACCAAAGTCTTTTAACATGGGGCCATAATCCAAAGGCAGCAGGCGAGCAACCAGGCTTCTCCAATGTAATGTGGCGAGGTTGCTCTCGTCACAGCGAGTATATTCTCTCCCTTGCTTTCCCTCCAATTTACGGCTATTTTACTTTAGTCTGTTTTCATTTTCTTATTAGTTTTATCCAGTTAGTGCTGTTCATATTGATGATGTAATTCTAGATACGCTGATTTGTCTTGTGGTAGTACAGGACTGTTGAGCTGTCTAATACGGACTATGAATATATGGTACATCTCGTATATAATATACTAATTTGCTATGTTAAATTATAATATTCTTATATTGAATTACAAACTGATTGTCTATGTTATGTGGACCATTGCCTTTCACTTGTTTCTGTTCTTTTCAGTGTGACTTTTATCTGCAATCTCGAGATTGGATATATCTGTTCTTCAACTCTACCTACTGTTATCAAGTTTCCTCAAAGTTATTGTTATATTGCCTGACTTTATACTAGAGTACCTAGACTGTCAATTCACATCAAAGAAAGAGGAGGAGCTATGCCTGTCGGGGCCTTAAATGGAATGTGTTACTTGTTTCTGATTGGTTAAAGTTTTATGATTGACTTGTGCTGCTGGAGCCATAAGTAAAGAAATTTATGCAAAATACTCTCCTCCTGTCATTATTAAAATTAGGATTATAGGTACACTACGTTAGCATAATTATTATTATTATTTTATTATATATATAGCGCCATCAGATTCTGTAGCACTGTACAATAATCTACAATTTTTTGTACGTTGACATGACAGAAGGGATAGAAGTCTCTGGATGAGTAAGAGTTAGAATTATATTGTCTGTGAAAAGTTATTAGTTGTTCGTTTTCCCGCATTGTAATTCCTGAAATATTAATAGATTGTTTAATGTATGCTGCCAGTGGTTCGATAGAAAGAACGTACATGAAAGGTGCCAATGGACATCCCTGACTAGTACCCTTCTTAATATCGAACCACTGCGAGTTCAGATCGATCAAATACTTTAACGTTAGGAATTTCCAACTCACTCTGTCAAACGCCTTTTCAGCGTCAACAACAGATGGAAGATGTTTTTTATTTATCTTCAGTATCATATTAGTGATCTTCTAACAATTGTCACAGCCCAATCTTGCCTTTATAAAACCTGGTCATTTCTAATTAGATCATCAGTATTTAGGACCGCTAGTGCGCCATCATTTGGGCACCGTGGGGCTCCTTTGTTTGGGAGGGCGGCTATTTGGGCCACACAGACTTGGACCTAGCCACAATATGGAGAGACAAGATGGCGCCAAGTCAGAGACTTGAGTAACCTATTGTTGACAGTGTGTTAATCCTTTTGCCTAATGTATAATTTTTTCCTGTGTATGCAAAGTAGGTGTTCTGTGATGGTGTGTCCTATTGGTTGTAAATGGGTTTAGTGTGATTGGTTGTTTGCCTACACCCAGTATGATTGGCCGCTGTCCCACACCCTTGTGTGTTTACTAATGAGTTTACTGGTGTACTAAAACCTGCGCGTGCTTAATAAAAATTATTTTCTGTTCTACCTTCAAGCTGAGTGTGTCTGCTGTTCTTGTGGGGAGAGGTGTTAGCTGACTGAATCTTCGTGAATGGGCTGACATCTGTGGCTTGGTAGCGGGAAGAAGCTGTTTGAATGGGTGTGCTCAGTCGGGGCATAGGGGACCTGTCACATTTAGGGAAAACTTTGCTACATCTATTTGCTAGAATTTTTTCAAGATTTTTTGTGTCCAGATTTATAAGATGATCGGACGATAATTGGTGATAATATTTGGATCTTTCCCTGATTTGGGAATAATCGAAATTGTAGCACTTAACAATTGTGACGATAGCTTGCTTTAGTGAACAGCGGTGATATTCCTGGCTCTAGGATTTTATAAAATTGTGGGCACCAGTTTTAAAGAAGGATATTGTAGAACTAGAAAAAGTGCAGAGGCAAGCTACAACATAAATAAGGGGGTGTCATGGCTCCTGGATCTTCTGCTGGCGTGGCTGCCTAGTTTATGTGCAGCCACGCCGGCAGAAGACAGAGATGTATCAGACTTGCCTTGGTCGCAACGGGCAGCTTCCCAGTCTCACTCCGTTCTGGTACCCAGCGGGTGCGACGTTCTTAGGAACGCCGGCCGCTGTGGTTCAGGTTTTTATAATAAACTTACCTTCGCCCACATCGAAGATGGTGCCAACGTGCGTGCAACGTCACGTTATAGACGCGCACGCACGTTTTGGGGTCAGGGGTCAGAGGTCAGAGACTGCCAATTACAGCCTACAGAGGGTTATTTAAACCCAAATTACATTTTTGTCAGTGCCCTGTCGTGGTTTCCGCTAGCTGGTTATCTGAGATTGTGTTCCTGTGTTTTCTGGTAATTGACTTTGGCTTCATTTCGACTTCCCTGACTTCTGGTATCCTTGACTTCTGGCTTTCCTCATCGTTATGTCTCATTCTGTGTTCCTGACCTCGGCAAGTATTTTGACTAGTCTCTGGTACGTTAAGTCCGGCCATTCTAAGGCCATTCTAAGGCCATTCTAAGGTCCGGTTAGATGTTATCCTTAAACCTAGGTGTGATACTATTCTGCATGCTGGATCAACTATAATCCTGAAAGGGGGATGGAAAACATTAGCATTGAAGAAAGACTAGAAAAACAGCATTTGATTTCTTTGGTAAAAAGGTGTCTCAGAGGGGATATGATTGCACTATACAAATATACACAGGATCAGTACAAACCACTACGTGCAGCAGAGAAAAGGGTTCTTTACAGTAAGAACAATAAGGATGTGGAATGATCTGCCTGAATAGGTGGTTTTTCAGATTCTACAGATGTTTTTAAAAATCAGGATATTATTTATATGGATTGGATCAGGTTCATCCAAGGGGAAATGTGAATGCCATTATCTTTCCCTCTCTTACCTCTGCAGACATGTCCACCACTTTCTGTAGGAACTGGTAGAACTTGCTATATTTTTGCATTTGTGCTTGGATCTGCGCCCTCTTCTGTTTCATCTTTCCGTGCTCTTCACGCAGGACGATTAATTCTTTTTCCTTCTGATTTAGTACATTTCGCTCTTTCTCTGCTTTCCTGGCTGATTTCACACATTTCTCTTCTTTATCCTGTTAATGGATATTTCAAACACATAGGACATTTTATGCTAGTTTTCTGATCATCAGTGGAAAGTGAGAAAATATCTCTGGGGCTTCTTGGGCAAATTTCCCGTAGTCCCCTCTAAAGTCCATGTGGGACTGTTGCTTGTAGCTAGTGCAGAGTGTTCCAAACACTGCAGGAAACCACACAACCACACGCCTTGGGCCGTCACACCTGACACCACAGTATAGGGTGTTTCTAGAGAGGGGCCGGTCTAGAGCCCAGGATGAATTTTAGCACCCTGTCATTGTTAGCCCTGGGTTTTCTGAAAATCTGGAATTTAGGAGTCATTTCTCTCAGTTTCAATAACCGCTTCAACGGCAGATTTTCTGATAAACCTGAAGTTCTCAGTAATTATTACAAATGATCTAGTTATGTCATGGTTTAACATACCAGAGGTCTGAATAGCACACAAACAAAAAGTGGAAAGGGCAAGACATGTCACCTGGAATGAAGGCTCTTACCTTATTTTTTGCCACATTGCGAGGCCTTAAATGACGGACATAGTGCTGTTTGAAATATTTGGGAGTATGAGTCTCAGCCTCTGGACAAATTGCAAGAACATTAGATAGTGAGTGCCTTACTCCAATGCATGACACAAGGTAAACCTCATGTCAGCTTGAGCTAGATGGTTTCCTGGGGTCTGTCGGCATGCGTTATATGGTTTCCTGAGATCTGTCGGCATGCAATATAGGGTTTCCTGGGGTCTCTAGGCATGCGCTATATGGTTTCCTGAGATCTGTCGGCATGCAATATATGGTTTCCTAGGGTCTGTGGACATGCGTTATATGGCTTCCTGGGGTCTGTCGGCATGCGCTATATGGTTTCCTGGCTTCTGTCGACATGCGATATATGATTTCCTGGGGTTTGTTGGCATGCGCTATATAGTGTCCTGGGGTCTGTCGGTATGTGATATATGGTTTCCTGGGGTCTGTCGGCATGTGCTATATGGTTTCCTGCGGTCTATTGGCATGCGATATATGGTATCCTGGGGTCTGTCTGCATGCAATATATGGTTTCCTGGGGTCTGTCGGCATGTGCTATATGGTTTCCTGCGGTCTATCGGCATGCGATATATGGTATCCTGGGGTCTGTCTGCATGCAATATATGGTTTCCTGAGGTCTGTCGGCATGCATTATATGGGGTCCTGGGGTCTGTTGGCATGCGATATATGGTTTCCTGGGGTCTGCCGGCATGCGCTATATGGTTTCCTGGGGTCTGTCGGCATCCGTTATATGGTTTCCTGGGTTCTGTCGGCATGCGATATATGGTTTCCTGGGGTCGTCGGCACATGCTAGATGGTTTCCTGGGGTCTGTCGGCATGCGCTATATGGTTTCCTGGGGTCTGTCGGCATGCGCTATATGGTTTCCTGAGGTCTGTCGGAGTGCGATAATTGGTTTCCTGGGATCTGTCGGCATGTGCTATATGGTTTCCTGGGGTCTGTCAGCATGCGATATATGGTTTCCTGAGGTCTGTCGGCATGTGCTATATGGTTTCCTGGGGTCTGTCAGCATGCGATATATGGTTTCCTGAGGTCTGTTGGCATGTGCTATATGGTTTCCTGGGGTCTGTCGGCATGCATTATATGGTTTCCTGGGGTCTGTTGACATGTGCTATGTGGTTTCCTAGGGTCTGTCGGCATGCGCTATATGGTTTCCTGGGGTCTGTCGGCATGCGCTATATGGTTTCCTGGGGTCTGTCGGCATGCGCTATATGGTTTCCTGGGGTCTGTTGGCATGCGCTATATGGTTTCCTGGGGTGTGTTGGCATGCGCTATATGGTTTCCTGGGGTCTGTCGGAATGCTATAATTGATTTCCTGGGGTCTGTCGGCATGCGTTATATGGTTTCCTGGGATCTGTCAGCATGCACTATATGGTTTCCTGGCGTCTGTCGGCATGCGATATATGGTTTCCTGGAGTCTGTCGGCATGCGATATATGGTTTCCTGGGATCTGTCAACATGCAATATATTGTTTCCTGGGGTCTGTCGGCACGTGCTAGATGGTTTCCTGAGGTCTATTGGCATGCAATATATGGTTTCCTGGGTTTTGTCGACATGCATTATGTGGTTTCCTGGGGTTTGTTGGCATGCGCTATATGGTTTCCTGGGATCTGTCGGCATGCGATATATGGTTTCCTGAGGTCTATTGGCATGCAATATTTGGTTTCCTGGGGTCTGTCGACATGCGCTATATGGTTTCCTGGGTTTTGTCGACATGCATTATGTGGTTTCCTGGGGTTTGTTGGCATGCGCTATATGGTTTCCTGAGATCTGTCGGCATGTGATATATGGTTTCCTGGGGTTTGTCGGCATGTGATATATGGTTTCCTGGGGTTTGTCAGCATGCGATATATGGTTTCCTGGGGTCTGTCGGCATGCACTAAATGGTTTCCTGGGCTCTGTCGGCAGACGATATATGGTTTCCTGGGGTTTGTCGGCATGTGATATATGGTTTCCTGGGGTTTGTCAGCATGCGATATATGGTTTCCTGGGGACTGTCAGCATACGTTATATGGTGTCCTGGGGTCTGTCGGCATGCGTTATATTATTTCCTGGGGTCTGTCGGCATGCGTTTTATGATTTCCTGGGGTCTATCGGCATGCGATATATGGTTTACTGGGATCTGTCAACATGCGTTATATGGTGTCCTGGGGTCTGTCAGCAGGCGCTATATGGTTTCCTGGGGTATGTCAGCATTTGCTATATGGTGTCCTGGGGTCTGTCGGCATGTGTTATATGGTGTCCTGGGGTCTGTCGGCATGCGCTATATGGTTTCCTGGGGTTGGTAGGCATGCGATATACGGTTTCCTGGGGTCTGTCGGCATGCGCTATATGGTTTCCTGAGATCTGTCGGCATGCGCTATATGGTTTCCTGGGGTCTGTCAGCACGTGCTAGATGGTTTCCTGAGGTCTATTGGCATGCGATATATGGTTTCCTGAGGTCTATTGGCATGCAATATATGGTTTCCTGGGGTCTGTCGACATGCGCTATATGGTTTCCTGGGTTTTGTCGACATGCATTATGTGATTTCCTGGGGTTTGTTGGCATGCGCTATATGGTTTCCTGGGATCTGTCGGCATGGGATATATGGTTTCCTGAGGTCTATTGGCATGCAATATTTGGTTTCCTGGGGTCTGTCGACATGCGCTATATTGTTTCCTGGGTTCTGTCGACATGCATTATGTGGTTTCCTGGGGTTTGTTGGCATGCGCTATATGGTTTCCTGGGATCTGTCGGCATGCGATATATGGTTTCCTGAGGTCTATTGGCATGCAATATTTGGTTTCCTGGGGTCTGTCGACATGCGCTATATGGTTTCCTGGGTTCTGTCGACATGCATTATGTGGTTTCCTGGGGTTTGTTGGCATGCGCTATATGGTTTCCTGAGATCTGTCGGCATGTGATATATGGTTTCCTGGGGTTTGTCGGCATGTGATATATGGTTTCCTGGGGTTTGTCAGCATGCGATATATGGTTTCCTGGGGTCTGTCGGCATGCACTAAATGGTTTCCTGGGCTCTGTCGGCAGACGATATATGGTTTCCTGGGGTTTGTCGGCATGTGATATATGGTTTCCTGGGGTTTGTCAGCATGCGATATATGGTTTCCTGGGGACTGTCAGCATACGTTATATGGTGTCCTGGGGTCTGTCGGCATGCGTTTTATGATTTCCTGGGGTCTGTCGGCATGCGTTTTATGATTTCCTGGGGTATGTCAGCATTTGCTATATGGTGTCCTGGGCTCTGTCGGCATGTGTTATATGGTGTCCTGGGGTCTGTCGGCATGCGCTATATGGTTTCCTGGGGTTGGTAGGCATGCGATATACGGTTTCCTGGGGTCTGTCGGCATGCGCTATATGGTTTCCTGAGATCTGTCGGCATGCGCTATATGGTTTCCTGGGGTCTGTCAGCACGTGCTAGATGGTTTCCTGAGGTCTATTGGCATGCGATATATGGTTTCCTGAGGTCTATTGGCATGCAATATATGGTTTCCTGGGGTCTGTCGACATGCGCTATATGGTTTCCTGGGTTTTGTCGACATGCATTATGTGGTTTCCTGGGGTTTGTTGGCATGCGCTATATGGTTTCCTGGGATCTGTCGGCATGGGATATATGGTTTCCTGAGGTCTATTGGCATGCAATATATGGTTTCCTGGGGTCTGTCGACATGCGCTATATTGTTTCCTGGGTTCTGTCGACATGCATTATGTGGTTTCCTGGGGTTTGTTGGCAGGCGCTATATGGTTTCCTGGGGTATGTCAGCATTTGCTATATGGTGTCCTGGGGTCTGTCGGCATGTGTTATATGGTGTCCTGGGGTCTGTCGGCATGCGCTATATGGTTTCCTGGGGTCGGTAGGCATGCGATATATGGTTTCCTGGAGTCTGTCGGCATGCGCTATATGGTTTCCTGAGATCTGTCGGCACGCGTTATATGGTGTCCTGGGGTCTGTCGGCATGCGCTATATGGTTTCCTGGGGTCGGTAGGCATTTGATATATGGTTTCCTGGGGTCTGTCAGCACGTGCTAGATGGTTTCCTGGGGTCTGTCGGCATATGCTATATGGTGTCCTCCTAGGGTCTGTCGGCATGCGCTATATGGTTTCCTGGGGTCGGTAGGCATGCGATTTATGGTTTTCTGGGGTCTGTCGGCACGTGCTAGATGGTTTCCTGGGGTCGGTAGGCATGTGCTACAGGGTTTCCTGGGCTCTGTCGGCATGTGCTATAAGGTTTCCTGAGATCTGTCGGCATGCGCTATATGGTGTCCTGGGGTCTGTCGGCATGCGCTATATGGTTTCCTGAGGTCGGTAGGCATGTGATTTATGGTTTCCTGGGGTCTGCCGGCACGTGCTAGATGGTTTCCTGGGGTCGGTAGGCATGCGCTACATGGTTTCCTGGGGTCGGTAGGCATGTGATATATGGTTTCCTGAGATCTGTCGGCATGCGCTATATGGTTTCCTGAGCTCTGTCGGCATGCGCTATATGGTTTCCTGGGGTCTGTCGGCACGTGCTAGATGGTTTCCTGGGGGTCTGTCGGCATGCGCTATATAGTTTCCTGAGATCTGTCGGCATGCGCTGTATGGTGTCCTGGGGTCTGTCGGCACATGTTATATGGTGTTCTGGGGTCTGTTGGCATGCGCTATATGGTTTCCTGGGGTCAGTAGACATTTGATATATGGTTTCCTGCGGTCTGTCGGCATGTGCTAGATGGTTTCCTGGGGTCTGTCGGCATGCGCTATATGGTGTCCTCCTAGGGTCTGTTGGCACACGTTATATGGTGTCCTAGGGTCTGTCGGCATGCGCTATATGGTTTCCTGGGGTCGGTAGGCATGCGCTATGTGGTTTCCTGGGGTCTGTCGGCACGTGCGAGATGGTTTCCTGGGAGTCTGTCAGCATGCGCTATATGGTTTCCTGAGATCTGTCGGCATGCGCTGTATGGTGTCCTGGGGTCTGTCGGCACATGTTATATGGTGTTCTGGGGTCTGTTGGCATGCGCTATATGGTTTCCTGGGGTCAGTAGACATTTGATATATGGTTTCCTGGGGTCTGTTGGCACGTGCTAGATGGTTTCCTGGGGTCTGTCGGCATGCGCTATATGATGTCCTCCCAGGGTCTGTTGGCACACGTTATATGGTGTCCTAGGGTCTGTCGGCATGCGCTATATGGTTTCCTGGGGTAGGTAGGCATGCGATTTATGGTTTCCTGAGATCTGTCGGCATGTGATATATTGTGTCCTGGGGTATGTCGGAATGCGCTATATGGTTTTGGGGATTTTTCGGGACGAGATATATGGTTTCTATGGGAATACTGCCATGCACTCAGTCTGCTCTCTGTATTAGTGATAATAGGTACATACAGAGATGCATCATAGCACAAAAAGAAGTCCTAACATGTTTCAGACCTTCTTGGAGAGTAACACAACGTTTAATTGAAAGAATGGATTGATCCCTTCCTGGTTCAATGCTTTGAAGATTATCTGTAATTCTAAGCTAAGGTTATGGCAATAGTCTACAGGTGTTTTTTTTTAAAAGAAAAAGAATAGTTATGTTTTAGGAATCGTACCCCCCACGAGTTCGCTGGCAAAATTTGGATGGATCCCTGTTAGGTTCAAGTAGTGTTGTGATTTGTTATCGAGTGGGTCTGGATGTGTAGCCCACCTTCTTATATCTTTGAAAAGGGCAACTACAATTATAATGTGTTCATTGCAACAAATGGGTGGTCCGTCCCACTGGCAAAATACATGTATACAGTGAGAATTCATGGTGAATTCAAATCAAATTCATAGGGACACTATAGTCACTAGAACAACTACAGCTTATTGTATTTGTTCTGGTGAGTAGAATCAATCCCTTCAGGATTCTTCTTTTCAGAGAAAATGCAGTGTTTACATTACAGCCTAGGGATACCTCTACTGGCCACTCCTCAGATGACTGCTAGAGATGCTTCCTGGGGCATTGCTACACAGTGTGACTGACATTCGGTGTCTCCTCCCTCTGCATGGAGACACTGAACTTTCCTCATAAAGATACATTGATTGAATGTATCTCTATTTGGAGATGCCGATTGGCCAGGGCCATGTTTGAATTGTGCTGGCCCCACCCCGATCTGCTTCCTTGACAGTCTCCGCCAATCCTATGGGAGGCATTGCGATTGGCTCAGACCACCACTTCTGATGATGCCAGCCAAGCAGGCAGATCAGTGGCAGAAGCAGCAGCTGCAGACTTGAATACAAGTAAGATTTTACTATATTTATGGGCTTAAAGAGGAGGGGATTCATGGGGGCTAGATTGTGGTTTTAACACTATAGGGTTAGGATTACATATTTGTGTTCTTGACCCTACAGTATTTCCTTAAGTTCAAAATAGCAGAACTGAAAAAAATTCTCAGCTTCCAGTTTGGCTGTTCTGGCCTTAGATGTAAAATCCTTTCAGTTCACTTTTTAAATATATATATAAAGAGGCTAATTACTAAAATTCCCTCTCACCAAAATGGAATCCTGGAATCGCAGACGGTATTTACGTAACTCATCCTCTTTTACTCGTAGCTTCTCCTTGCGCCGAGCAAGATCCTTCATCTCTGCACGAAAATTCTGTGCAAAGGGAAATGT